AAGGCTAGCGCTCTACCACTTGAGCCACAGCACCACTTCCGGCTTTTTTCTTTTTGCTTATGTGGTGCTGAGGAATCGAACCCAGGGCCTCACGCATGCAAGGCAAGCGCTCTGCCACTGAACCACCTTCCCAGCCCCTCCGGTGGACTCTTGAGGCCGGCTGTGTCCTGGAGCTCCCCTCCTGCCCCCTACACCACCATGGATCAGGACCGAGGGGCCAGGGCCTTGACATGCAGCCCCACCTACTGACATCTGGGATGGGTCTTCGCCCACTTAGGATGTGCCCTTGGTCCTGTGCTGTCCTTCAACCTGGGTCCTGCCCTGAACTTGGCTGTCGCTCACTTGAGTGGCCACTGTGCCCTGGGTGGTTGCGGGGCCCAGCAGGTCCCCCGATTCAACCCCCCCCCCCTCCAAGCAGCAGCTACTGAGGTGCACCATGGGGGGAGGTGTGTGTGGCCTGTGGGGCCCGTTTGTGTGTGTGTGCAGTAGCTCCAGGCAGAGCATGCTGCCAGGCCTTCAAGCTCAGCGAGGACGAGCCACAGGGCAACGTGGACAGAGGTCCCTGGCCATAGGCCCCTCCCGCGCGCGCGCACTGGCTGGGTGTGCAGCACCCACACCTTGTTGGAAGGGCCGGGGGCTGGCCTCAGGCACACCAGATTGCCCTCCAGCGTGAGCGTGGCCAGGCGCGGGCACAGCTGCAGGTATCGCACCTGCCCCAGGTCCTCCACGCTGTTGCCCTCCAGGTCCAGCACCTCCAGCTGCTCCAGCATGCACAGTGGGCTCAGCTCCGAGATGTTGTTGTAGGAGACGTAGAGTTCCTGGGGGGCACATGGGGGGCTTAGCCAGGGCTAGATCCTGTGACCCACGCCTCCCCCAGGGGCCACATGCCCACCTTCAGCGCCGGGAGGGAGCCAATGCCGTCTAGGTCAGTCAGACCGCAGCGGGCCAGCCACAGCACCTGCAGGCAGCCCAGAGAGGTGCCTAGGTCTCTGTGGAAAAAAGTCAGTTGGTCGGGGCAGTCCTTAGATGGAGAGCCCTGTCTAGCCAGAGGTGACCTGGTGGCAAGCCATCATCCAGGCTGGCTGTCTCCAGGTGCCAGTGGTAGTGATAGCTGCCTTCTGGCCACCTCAGCTGAGGAAGTCTCCAGACCTTCTCCCCTTGCTGTGATCTCCTGTTCTCAGACGGTTAAAATACATTCCAACTTTGTCCTTGGAAGTTCTGGGTCTGGCCCTGGGGAATGGCTTAGCCCGGCCCTACCCTACCTGCTGCCCAGTGCATCCTCTCCCATCAGTCCCTGCTACAACCAGAATCGCCAGCATCCACACCGGGGACGTAGAGTGTCCTGTTCCTGTGGGATGCTCTTCACGCAGGTACCGCGGTGCTGGGCTGCTCCCTCCTTGGGCAAATGCTCCCTCACCACACACTCAGGCTTTGTGAATAACCACCATTGCAGGGCACTTTCTTCAGCTCTACTCCAGCTCAGAAGTCCCCCTGGTTACATTCATCTACCATGCGTCTGGTAGGTGTTTTTGTTGTTGTTGTTTTGTTGTTTTTTGTCAGTCTTGGGACTTGAACTCAGGGTCTGGGCACTGTCCCTGAGCTGCTTTTTGCTCAAGGCTAGAGCTCTATCACTTGAGCCACAGCACCAGGGCTTCATGCATGCCAGGCAACTACTCTACCACTAAGCCATGTTCCCAGACCAAGGATTTTAAGTTTGCTACTGTTGCCTGAATCTGTGTTTACTTAGTATTTGTCCTTCAGTTACAAAGGGTCAGCATTTATCTCATTTATTGGTTTAAATGGCTTTTCTAATCACCTTCCTAGGCTGGAGTTTGTGTCCATTGACTCTAGAGTGCTCACAGATGCCTCTCATGGATGTTTGCTGCATCTGCTTGTTTGTTGTTTGACTGGGTGTGAGGGCTTGGGTTGTGTTGCCTTACCATCAAGTATGTGTAGATACTTCTGGTTTTTGAATGTTTCAGTGGAGAAATTTGAGGAAAGACTTGCCTTTTTGCCCTTAAAAAACACTGTGAAGCCGGGCACCGGTGGCTCACACTTGTAATCCTTGCTACTCAGGAGGCTGAGATCTGAGGATCGTGGTTCAAAGCCAGATTGGGCAGGAAAGTCCACGAGACACTTATCTCTAACCAATTACCACAAAGGAATCTGCTTAAGTGGAGGACACCCCGAAGCTGACATGGCACACTGAGTAAAGTCTAAAATGTACCCAGAATATACAAAAATGCCTACAAGGAAACCAGAAAACAACATCTACCTGGAAAGCTCGTTCACTGTGCCCAGAGCAAGGCCTGACATCCCCAGCAAGGACAGCTGTGCAGGACATGGAATACATGAGGCCAGACTGCTTATGCTGCCGCCGTTCTTTCGGGATGCTGGGGTTTGAATGTGGGGCCTTGCCCATGTCAGCAGATGAGCCCTACTCCTGATTCTGCTCTGGGGGCTGCTGCCAGGGAAACACCTTCCACTTCCAGACCTTCTATGTTTGATTGAACTCTCTTTGATGTAAGTAAGGAAATTCAAGAAAACTAACATGAAGTTGCTTAATTACCTAGAAATAAATAGATATAGTACATGGAGCCCAACTCAGATAGCTGGAGAACTTTCTAGAATTTTGACTGGGATTACTTTGCCATGTGCTTCCAGATTCTTGCTACATAAAGCCAAAGATGTTTTTCACAAGACTCCCTTTGGTCAGATCACTCAGGTAGTCTGTTACTCTCTTGTCTTGATTCTTTCCAGTCCAATGAGAGCTAATTATTAAAAAAGATTTGGTTCTGGGTGCTGGTGGTTCACACCCATAATCCTGGTTACTCAGGAGGCTGAGATGTGAGGATCACAGTTCAAAGCCAGCCCAGGCAGAAAAGTACATGAGACTATCTCCAACTAACAAGCAGAAAGCTGGAAGTGGAGTCACAGCTTAGGTGATAAGAGTGCCAATCTTGTGTGAAAAAATCTTAGGGACAGTCCCCAAATCCTAAACTCAAGCCTGATATGGTACGCTCGCTCTCGCTCTCGCTCTCGCTCTGTCTCTGTCTCTCTCTCTCCCCCATCTCTCTCCTCTGTGTCTCTTGTTCTCGCTCTCTCTGTCTCTCTCTCTCTCTCACACACACAAACAGCAAAGCTGAGCCTCCTCAACAGTCGAGTCTGCGTTTAGGAAGGTGCATTTTTTGCTCTGGCCTGAGGTCAGGCCTCCAGGAGGGTCAGGCCCTTCTCTCCAGGTCAGCAGCCCCCTCTCTTCCCCTCCCATAGCTTCTGGCCTCATGGTGTGGCTGATGCCCTGGATTGTAATGTGAGATACCGTCTTGGTTAGTTCAGTGAGAACTTTTTGGCTTGCCAGACACAGGACCTGCCTTGGGTACGTGCATCAGCCATGTGTAGCAAGTGTCCCCCCTATGGAGGTGAGAAAAGCTCACGGGAAGGAATCAGAGCGGGAAGCCCAAGCCCACAGGACGGCTAGAGGTCAGGATGCCCTGGGGGCCAGGGATCCAGGACCTGGCCTCATTCTCCTGCAGGGACCAGCAGGAGAGGCCTCAACCCAGGGGAGACCCTGCTGCCTGGAAAAGAGTGTCTGCAGGTGTCAGCAGGGTGGAGCGGCACAGCGGTAGCCAGCCAAGGGCCAGGCCCTCTGGCCTCAGTTCACTACCGTCCCCACTGTACTGCAGCCCTGCCCTCCCAGGGAAGGCAGGCACTTACCTGAGGGAGGTGAGGCGGCTGCCATTCAGCTTCAGCTGGCTCAGGTTGGGGAGGTGCACTCCTGTGGGCACAGGAGGAAGTGGGTTTGTCTCACCTCCGCCCATTTGTCTGTTTAGTCACCTCCTCTCCCATGGTTACCCCCCCCCAATTCCAAAAGGAATGTGTCCATGCCAAGGGGATGGTGTGCTCACCAGCTACTTACGCCACAGAGGGACAGGCAGACTGAGAGGGGTTGCCCGCAGCCCTCTGCCCCCCCGTCTTCTGTGGGGGCTGCTGCACATATAGGACTATACAGGCTGTCTCTGGAAGGCCACAGGCCCATGAGTTGCAGGACTAAGTTTGGGAAAGGGAGCCAGGGCCCTCCCTTGTCTGCCCCTGGGCACCTGGACCCCAGTGGCAGTCTGTGTCAGCACACAGTACCAACACTTATTCTCAGCAATGTCACCATCCAGCGTGGCCCAGTCCCAGGGGAAGCCCGTGTTCTCAGTGATGTTTTGGGTGGGGTACCGTTCCTGGAAGACAGTCTCGGAACCAGAGGACAAGTGCAGCATAGAACTGCAAGCTGGGCCTGGTAGCAGGGCTGGAGGGGGAGAAGATGTCCCTGACCTTGTGTGCACACAGGCTCGCTACACTGGCCTGTTAAGGATTTAACAGAAAAAAAAAAAAAAGCAAGACAAACCAAGGTGGGGCAGATTTAGTTTCACTGTAACCAGAGAAATGAAAACAAAACCCACAAGGATCCTGGACAGCAAGAATCTTTCCTGTTGTTTGGTGAAATCTGAACCGGTCTGTGGTACAGATAAGAGTCCCATATCTGTGTGATTTCCTGATTTTGATCATGGCACTGCATTTCAGAGACATTCCTTGCAACTAGGAAATACGTACTGAAGAATTAATTGACATGGGCGTCATATCCATGACTCTCAACAGATCAGAACAGCACGTTGCCCTGTTGTGTGTACGTGCACGTGTGCAGACCTCAGGTCCGTCACCGTGGAGGATCTGGGGAAGGGCCACGGAGATCTCTGTGCCATTCCTGCAAGTGCTTACATTTCAAGTTATTTCAAAATAAGCTTTGGGAGCCCCTACCACCGGGCTGTGTTGCTTCGAGGGGCACTGTTATAGCAGTGGCTGCTTTGTGCTGTGTGCCAGTGTTTGGGCGAGGCTGTCCTGGAGGGCAGTTTGAAGTCTGGATAACAGGCTAACACCCCCACCTCTGTCCAGTGCTTGCTCAGTGCCAGGGGGCAATCGTAAGGAAAGAGACGTGCTGTCCAGGGTGCCTGCTGGCTTGGTTTCTACAACCAAAACAGAGAGGTGAGGGCTGTGATGGTGGCCTGAGATGGCTGTGACTCAGAAGCTCTCACCAAAGTTCCCCAGGCTGTTTTCACGGGTGTCCACACACATCTCCAGCACCCGCACCATTTGGAGGTCATCCACCTGGGCCAGGACCTGCTGCAGAGATAAGACGGAGTCACTCCCTAACAGCTTCCTCCATGCTCCAAGCTGCAGGACTTTACCGGTGCCCCCGGCACCAGTAGTAAGTATCCCCTGCCTCACCTATGTTGGCCTTGGTCATGACAGCTTGGCTGGTGGAACCCGGGTGAACATGGTATCTGGAGGTTGTAACCAGCTGGGAGACACTAGAACCGAGCCTGCCCCTGGAGTGGCTGGTTTTTCAGATGGAACCTTTGGAGCAGACCCGACCATACAGCTAGAGTCCAGAACCCATCCTGCTGAGTACCACCTGCCATTACCTACCTGAACCCATTGGCAGCATGCCTACACATGCAGAGGTGGGGCTGACCACTCTACCTGAAGTCCTGGGTCTCTGGATGAGGCCTTTTTTTTGCTTGTGTCAGATGAAAGCAAGGCCTTCCAGCCTGGCCCTACCTGTTGTGGGATTGGTGGGGACCTTGTAGAAGTCCTGAAGGTCCTGTACTGGCAGGTTGGATCTTATTCTGAGGGGTCCTGGGGGTACCAGCATTGGGCTTGGTCATCTCCCCGGGGTGGGTAGGAGGCAATTCCTGGGTACTAAATGCAAGGTTGTCTAGATAGGTTCTATGCAAACTTCTGAGGCTCAGGGCCAGGTCCAACAGTTGGTGAGATCCCACTCCATGTTTCTGAAAAGCTTCCACTTGCAGTGAGCCTATGGACCCAGTCAGCTGAGCGTGGGAATAGGAACTGTGCCCAGGGATGGGGGGGCGGGGCTTGGAGCACCCCTAGACTTCTGGGGGAGACACTCCTACAAGGAACTCACACAAAGATCTCCTATTTCCCAGCACTTTGGGCCTCTGTGTGTGTGTGTGTGTGTGTGCTGTGAAGTTCACAAGGAATGGGGGAGGGTCTTCTGTTTGAGGACAGTGGCTTAGCAAGTACATGTGGAATCCCTGCCTCCTTCAGGCCTTGAGACCCTGGGATTGCTGATACTTTGGGTTATGTAGGGTCCCAAAGGTAGAAAGATGGAGGGCACCGCACTGCAGGGGCTGGGATGAGGGTGGGCTGGATATCGTCAGCACTCAGGATGCAGACCCCCATTGTTGAGCCCCTGGCCCCTGACACTTACCAGTCGGGCAGGAGACAGGTGCTCCTTTATTAGCTGCTCCCTGTGGATGCTCCCATGGCTGCCCAAGCCCTTGCTGTGTGGGGAGGGGTTGTGCTGGCCCTGCCAGCTCAGCTCCCGTACCCGGACATTGACTGTGCCAGGCAGAGGCCCCGGGGATCCATCCCAGGCTGGGTCCATCCACATCCAACCTGCCAGGAGAGGAAGCAGGCAGGGCCTTCTACCTTCTACTCCAGCTTCCGTTCTGTGGCCAGTAAAGACCCCAACAAAACCCTGACAGGGCCTGGCACACAGAAGATCTCCCATCCTGGATTCCTAGAGCCCCCTGCCTGCATTCCCATCCTCCTTTTGTGTCTGTCTTTGTTTACTTTGGTGTCCACAGTCAGTGCTGGCTCCAGGCCTGGCCATCTGGGGCCCCAGTGAGGCTAGGGTACTGAATGAGTTGCCTGCTGTGATCAGCAATATGCTTTTGCTGACAGGCTCCTGGCATGCCCCAGGCCCTGGGTTGTGGGTTCTTCTCCTCCTGATGTCTGAGTCTGGGCCCAGGATCAGGGTCTCAGGCATTCCATTTACCCCCTTCTGCACTGGCGGACCCCACACCTGAAGGTAGCTGCTTTGTGCTGTGGGTCAAACATCCGGGCAAGGAGGCAGCATGAGTCCACGGGTGACACCTGTGAGAGAGGATGGTGACAGTCATAGTCAGGTCACTGGGCCCAGTGGCACCTAGGCTGGGCTGCTGGCTTGGAGCTTGGTCTTGAGTGCACTTGTGACCATCCTGACAGGGGACCTGGCCCAGCAGATTTGGAGGAACACTGTGCAAAGGAGGACCAAGTCCTCATCTGAATCCTACTTCTTCCATCCCAGAAGGATGTCTTGGGTCTGCTGCTCTGAACCATCTCCTGTACACCGGCCTCTTCTGCACCCTGTCCCTCAGAGCCCTTCTGCAGATCTCTGGAGAAGCTTACCTGGGGTGACACTGCTCACCTGCACTAGGCTCCCTGGCTGTTGCTCCTGAAAGACACAGAAACCTGTGCTGTGCCCTAGACCCTAGACTCAGGAGCTCTGGGCTGTAGCTAGAATTTTTTTCTTTTCTTTTCTGCCAGTCCTGGGGCTTGAACTCAGGGCCTGGGCACTGTCACTGGGCTTCTTTTGCTCAAGGCTAGCACTCTACACTTGAGCCATAGTGCCACTTCTGGCTTTTTCTGCTTATGTAGTGCTGAGGAATTGAACCCAGGGCTTCATGCATGCTAGGCAAGCACTCTACCACTGAGCCACATTCTCAGCCTGTAGCTAGAATTCTTTTTTTATTTTTATTTCTTTATTGTGAAAATACTGTACAGAGGGGTTACAATTACATGGGCAAGATAATGAGTACAATTCTTATCAAACATTGTAGCCTTCTCCTTTGTTTCCCCTTCCCATCCCATCCCACCCCCCACGCCGCCGCCCCTCCCACCCCCGTAGCTAAAATTCTGACCAGAACATTCAACACCACCATCCTTTGACCTTGGCCACCTTGTCACCTCCATCCAATTTTTTTATTTTGTTTGGTCAGTTGTGGGCTTTTTGAATTCAGGACCTGGACACTGTGTCTGAGCTTTTTTTTTTCTTTCTCAAGGCTAGCACTCTACCACTTTGAGCCACAGTGTCACTTCTAGTTTTTAGGTGGTTAACTGAAGATAAGAGTCTCACAGACTTTCCTGCCTAGGCTGGCTTTGAACCATGATCCTCAGATCTGGGCTTCCTGAGTAGTTAGGATTACAGGTGTGAGCCAACAGCACCCAGCTTCCATCTAGTTTTTGACTCCTTATTCTGGTCCTTCCTATTCAGTTGCATATTGCTCCAAGATCAGTTCTTCCCTGCCACCTGCCAACACCTCAGGCTCCCGGGAGAATCCGTGTGCCCCTGGGAAGATGTCACCTCCGCCCAGCCTGCCAGCCCCAGGCCCCGGAGAGCTGTGAGCTGGCCAGGGTCAGGGCCTGCCCACAGCTAGGCCCCAATGCTTGAGCCCAAAGGCTTTGGGATTTTAGGACAGAAATTAGAGATCTCTCTCTCTCTCTCTCTCTCTCTCTCTCTCTCTCTCTCTCGACACACACACACACACACACGGAGATTAGAGATCTCATGACACACACA